AATTGGATATTTCCAATTTCGGGAAATTCTAATCGAATGCAAAGCTCCAGGGTGCATTCTATTGATTCGAGTTGCGACATTCGGAGAGGAAACTAAAACAATCAAGGAGCATATAAAGTATTATTCTGATTAGAAATAAGTAGATTTAGAAAGATAAAAGAAGCAATTGTTTTTTTTAACTAATATTAATCAGTAAAAATTGTATTTTTTAAAAAATATGAGATTTTAATCCAATAAAATGATAACTTTTAATTATAATTTACTGTGATTTCAATATATATATTTTTATTGATATGTTTCATTGGAAATATTAAAACATTTATTTATATTTGCCTTTTTTACTGAATATTTCCGCCAATTTCTCGAAATTATTTCATTTTATTTACTTAACCGCTTTACTGTATTACTTTTTTTTTTTTATTTCCGTTCATTTAATTTACATTTTTTTTTTTTCTATTTACTTTGTATTTTCTGGAAAAATTAAATTTTTTTCTCTTTAGATGCAGTGTTTAAAATTGATAACTGAAATTAATTTTAAATACTTTTAAATTTATACAGAAATTTACAAATATTTTGTCTGACTGAAACTGTTTTTACTACTAATACGAAGAATTTTCGTCTGACGCAAACGCACTTTTACTACTTAAAATTAGAATTTTATTGCCTACGACTGACTTAGTCTACTGAGATCAAAATAACACAAAACTGAAACGAAAAATAAAATTTTAATATGTCTGACTGAAAGTGACTTGTACTACTGGCACAAAATTTTTAAAAAATTACGCAAAGAACAATTTTTTTCTCTTAAAACAAAAAAAAAAAATATTATGTCTGACTAAAACTGACTATTACTACTAATAAATAGGAATTTTATTCGTCTGACTAAAATTGTCTTCTTCTACTTCTAATATCCTTTAGAGAATTTAAAACTACTCTCTAAATCTGAATTAGGAAAAATGTTTACTAATTTGAATTAGTGACTCACTTTTTGTTGAATTAGTAAAATTTTACTAATTATTAGTAACTTTTACTAACAATTAGTAAAATTTAATTAATTCTAAAGCAAAAAGTGAGTCAATAATTTAAATTAGTAAACATTTTTACTAATTCAGATTTAGAGAGTACTAAACTTAAAATTAAAAAACAAAAACGAAAAGTAATAAAAAAATCAAATCTGGTTCAAAAATTTAAAAAAAATTTGTCTGAAACTGATACCAAAAAAAGATATACACGAATTTGTCCTGAAATTTTGCAAACACATAGCGAGCCAATGAAAACGAAATGAAATTGTTTGATTAAGCTATAACTTCGTAAATTATTCAAGCGGATGATCGTTAATGACATTTATCGACCACTATACAGGAATCAGAATAACGACAGTCAACGTAACAGTGAATAATAAAAACGAGAATATTCCGTAAATTATAAATAGAATGTCCGTTATGAGATAGCTGACTAATTAACAGTCTACCACCAAAGAACAAAAGAGAGAGAGAGAGAGAGAGTAATTTTATATATTTTTTTTGTCTAAAGTACCAGAAGAAGAAAAAGTCATCCTACATTTTACAATATTGACAAACGTCACTCGGAAAAATTTCACTCGAATTTTATTATCCAAATTTTTTTCCTTAAACAATGTTTAATTAATTCTTTTTTCTATTTGCTTTCACTTAAACATTTTATTTGCATTTATTTATCTATGATTTACTATTTTAAAAACGAATTTTCAACAAGTTCTTTTTTTTTTAATTAAAAAAAACGGATGTCCTCGAATGTATAATTTACACATTAAAAGTGTATGTATATATATTTAAAGTAGCATCATTTGTTTTTTTTTTTTTCATAAAAAATAAAGCGCGGTCTTCTCATTTGTATAATGAAAATCATTTTCTATAAATATTCATAAGTATTTGGAATACGCTCAACGGCTCATGCCATAAAGTGATTAACACTGTACGATATGAGCAAAAAAAAAAAATGATAAATGCATGCATATAAAAAAAAGAACCTATATTTAAAAAATCAATTAGTAATTTTATATTTTATCGTTAAAATCCCATATATGTAATTTTGAATGAAAACATTTTTTCCAAAAGTATTTTACAATATAAAATAAAAAGGTAGATAAAATTTTTTTTATTATTCAGAACTTAAAAATGGTATTTGAAAAATGTTTTATTTTTCGGTATTTTAATTTCCTCATTTGCAAAAACTATTTTTTTATATAGTAAAAAAAATATCAATCTAAATGTAAATAAAAAGAATAACATTTTTCAAATGGAAAATGTCATTTTTTTCTTATTTAAAAAAAAATTAATCTGTAAATTAAAAAAATAGAAGAAAAATACAATTTTTTACTTTTTTGGATAAAATGGAGTTTGAGAAAAAACTATTTGGAAATGTTTAAAAAAAATTCGCATATTTGTGAATGCAAAATTTATACGAAGAACCACTAGACACAATTGAAGTTTTGAGCTTCTTTCGTCTAAGTCCTCTGACAGAATTCTTTTGAAGGTGTAATCCGAGAGTTTACGGGATAAGTATCGCGCTTGAATGCACAACTGGATCAAGCCATCGTTGTCATAGGGTGTTAAGTCGACTGAAAGCGCACACTTGACTCTTCAATAGTAAAAAGTTATTCAATTTTATGTAAAAAAAAAAAAATAATAATAATAATAAATGAAAAAGAAATAAAATAGTTTTAAACGATACTATATAAAGTTTTGCTAAAGGTGCTAAGTAATAGTCTTTTGAAATTAGAGAGAAATTCTCTGACGAGTCTTTTAGACCATAAAAGAAAAAAAAGGTAAGTTCTAAAAATATCTTGGGTCATAGCATTTACCCAGAAGTAACCACGAGAGTAAGAGAGTAAGAGAGAGAAAAAGAGAGAAAGAGAGGCTTTCAGTATATGCACCAACGCGGTTCTCATAATCTACTCACATACAGTTCCATTTTATGCGCATTTAATCCGTTCATATCATTCCCAGGGAGGCTTTTGAGACTCTTTTCTACGGAGTATTTAGTCCACTCGAAAGGCAGACATTTTACACGTAATGAAAAGCCAGCTCTAATGACATTGAGCACTGTTGTTGCAAATTCTTAATTGCTTTCATTCTCACTTAAAACTTTAATTGTTAAAAATGCTTCAAAAACATTTGCCAATATTTCTCTTTAAATTTTTTTCATTATCTATTAATTCTAATTAATTTTCAAATAATTCAAATTTCGAAATTTATTTCACCAGAAATAAAATAATTTTTTTTAAATTATGAGGAAAATTTAATTATAGTTTCAAAACTACGTGTGGTATTAGTAGAAAATGTAAATGAATAAAATATTTAACAGAAAGCAAAGTTTGATCGCTGTATTATTCGTATAAAACAACAAAATTCCAATTGTATTGTAATTTAAGTTCAAATAGAAAATTATTCTCGAAAACTTCCGCTATGAATAAATGGATACATTTATCAACGAGGTATTCCATTGATTTTGATGTTAGATTAATTTCATCGATTCTACATGCCAACGTTGTATGAAAATGAAGGACATAAATTAACTTCCATTTGAAAGCCTTAAGTTATGAAACTAACTATCGTTCACTTGCGAGATTATTCAATTTTACCAGGTGCATTGTCAAGGAAAATTTAATTAATTTTCTAACTCGCGAATAATATATTTCACTTTATTCATAATTTTTAAGCGCGATTTTAAAAATTATTTTTTTATAAGTCTTTTAAATTAATTAATAAAATTATATATTTATGTTAAATTTATAAATTATTATTATTATGCTACATTAATTATTTGAATTTTAATGAATAAAATGTTTAATATCAATTTATGAAAAATGTAAAAATTGAATATATAATGAAAATAAATATTATTTTAATGAATAAAAAATTATACGTATACACTTCTAATAAATAAATTAATAAAAACACGATTTTCTAAACCATTTCTGTATTTTTTTAAATTTACTCATTGAATAATAAAGTAACATTAAAATAACTCAAAATGAATATTTAAAAAAAGAAAAAGCAGTGTCCGAGTTAACATTATATATTTTAATACATTGAGTATATCGATTTCTTAGTAAATTAACTATGCATATCACTCTCAATGTTCTATTTACACAATTCTATTTCTGTGATTTTATCTTGTTAAATATTTATTCCGTTTCTGAATTTAAAGATGTTTAAAGATAATAATCAATATTGCTACTTTAGATTAAGTTAAAAAAAAAATGGTCAAGCATCTTTAAACTTTTTTCATTTTTAATTTTCTATATTTGGAAGTTGGTTTTAATTTTGGAAATAATTTTCAGATTACTGAAATAATTAGTTATTTAAAAGAAAAAAGAAAACCAAAATAGATAAAAGATTCAATTTTCTATCAATTCTAGGGGAAATTAAATTTATTTTTATTATTTAAATTTAAAAATTTATTCAAACATTTACTTTTTCCATAGTAAAAACATGTTTTTTAATTTAAATTCATATTTTAAATTTTCCAAAACAATGTCTGATTAAATTGAAAATGTCTCTCGGTAAAAAAAAAATGCCGATCATTTAAAATAAAGTTAAAAATAGAAATACTCGTGTACGGTGTATATATAATATCGAAAAAATGCGAAATTATTGGAAGAAACTTTGAAAAGCATGTGCATTGTCGCAAAAGGAAATTCAATTTACCCCACTATCCAGTGAGTATTAAATGCCTTAAATTTTTTTCCAACACCTATATATACATGTGAGAGGCTTCATAAACTCGAATCGTAAATTCCTCTGTGCAGAAATTCAGAAATAAAAACGCAAGAGCAACAGGTTTGCAATGAAACTCTATACACTGGGATCAAGCCCACTTAATAGTATTATGATAGCCCGAAGCCTTATACCAAAAGTTGTGCTTGTATAGTTTCTTTGTTCCCCCCAAAAAAAAAAAAAAAAAAAGGAAATTTCAAAAAACATAATGTAAAAAAAATAAATCAAAAAAACACTTACCTTGAGTTGATGTTGTGGACGTCTGAGAGCAACCTGGTCCCTCCTTCCAACGAGTCGATCAGCTTCAGTTTCCAGGCTTTCCATTGATGATTCAGCCTCGCTCAGCCATGCCAAAAACTTGTCCAGTGAACGATCAAAGTTTTGCAGAGAATTCATTGCTGAATGAAGAAGTTTTCCTCGGTTGATGATGCTGTAAATTTAATGAAACTCTAAAGATTCCGAAAATAATGATAATAATAATAATAATAATATTATTATTAATATTAATAATAATAAAAGTAAAGTTTAAATTAATCTTTTGGAGGTTTAGTGCTTTGAAAAGTGAAACGAGGTTCACAGAGAAAGCATTTAGAATTCAATTTCCTCACTTTATGAAACGTCTTGCCTATAGTTATTTAATCCGGCTTCCATGAATCTTTCATCTGTTTTCATCTCATAAATTCCGGAGTAGTAAACTTAAACGTATTAAATTGTATAAATATTTAAATTTTTCTTTTTTAATGCTCTAGTTTCATAAAAAGATATTAAACTTTTTTTTCCCTATACGAACCAAGAAAACTAAACGTAACATTTTTTTCAAATACAAATAATTAACTTTCAATTTAACACAACTATTTATTAATTTAAATCTAATTTTTTATTTTAAGAAAAAAAATCAAGAAAATGATCACTCACCTTGTATTGAGATTATTATAGCGTTGATTAATGGTCTCTGTCATTTTCTTAACACGCGTTGTATCATCTTGTTGATAAACGGCAATTAATTTCTGGGTGAGTTGATTAAATAGTTCAAGTTGATGTTTGTATTGATGAAGCTCAGCGTGGAATGACTGTAAAAAAAAAAAAGAAAACGGAAAAAGAAATTTAAAGTTAAAAGTTTAGACCAAATGTAATGAAGCCAGAGCATCGAGAGCTTCTAACTGAGTTAGAAAAAGTAATTTCCTTCCTATAAAGAAACGTCGATAACTTAACAGAGTTAAATGTTTGTAAAACTGAATAAAGTTTCATGGTGATATTACGCTCCAAGGAAGGAAAAAACTCTTTTTATTTACAGAAAGAAGGAGAGAGAGAGAATGTCTACAATTGGGGTCCTCCTCCAACTTCGAAAGAAGAGATAAAACTTGAAACTTGTTTAGCTATTTTACAATATAATACCAACTCCTTAACGGCTGTGACAATAAAAAACCATCAAATTCTTATTTTTATTAAACAGAAAGAGAGAGAAGATTTCATCCAATAAAAGTTTTTGTATCAAATAAAGTTTTTTTTTTTATATAATCATTTTAATAGTAATAAATCAATTTAGATTTTTAATACTTTTACATTATAATTCAAGGAAATAAAATTAAATTGAAATTAATTTTAATTTTAATTTTAGTTCCATAGAAAAAAAAGATGAGAACAAAATGAATATTAAAAAGTTTGTTAAAAATAGAAAAGAAAGAAAATGAGTCATGTTAAACGTTAATTTATAAAATATTATGGAGACGTACCTTTTGTTCTCTGAGTTGTGCTTCAAGAACATCAGCAGTATGACCAACGGCCCTCATCCTCTCGAGACGAGTTTCCATTCTTGCCAACCAGACTTCAACCTCGTTTCTCTTGGCTTCGTACCGTTGACTATCGCTCAACATGGCATCTAACTGTGTCTTTCTTTGCATTACTTTCGAGTTTGTCTCATCCCAGTGTTCTCTCAGTTTGGTCACTGTAACAAGCAAAAAAAAAAAATTGCATTCGATTAAAATCACATACAATATTACACACGTATATACCTATATTTTATATCAGCTAAAGAAAAATTACATTGACTTTATGATTAGTACTTCAGAGAAAACAAATTATTATTTTTATTATTATTATTATTATTATACAATCAACCAGAAACGAAACAGAAAGCAATAACACATAATTGAATCATATAATATACACAAATGACCAAAATGTAAATCAATTTTCCTTTTGCCTTTGTAAACATATTTAGCAGAATAACTTTCCTTCCATTAAAACACGCAATTATTCCACTGGGTTCAGTAAATTATTCAAACAATACAAATTGCACAAATATTTTATGCCAAATTAAATATACAAATTATTATTAATTTAAGTAAATCAAACAATAAATTACAAAAATATCATTATTTTCTTTCGGTGGATAAAAATGTTGAATATGTGAAATTGTAAATATTTGTGATAATTTGAAAAAAAATGCACATGATTTCATTTATATTTTTAATTTCATCTCCTCAATATTTTGTTTTTGAGGATATTTTACAAAAACATGCAATGTCTCAAGAAAAAAATCAATAATTTCCAAAAAAACATTTTACACACTCGCTACCTTTTAGAAATGCTCTTAAAAATGCAAGATTCCGAGAACACATGTCATCAAATAGAGGCGAAACTAAAAATATATTTTTTATTTACAATTTTTTTAAAAATAAAATTTTTTTTCTACTTTTAAAAATAAAAATAATTATTTAATTATTATTATACTTTAATTATAATATAAAAATAATGATATAAAATATAATAATAAAAATAATAAATTTGTCTCAAAAATTAATCTTCCTCAAATATAAAGAAAATATTATAATTACAACGAAGAGTATTATAAGAAAAGAAAAATCTTCCAAGAAAGGAGGAGAATAATTTTTTTTCTCAAGTGAAGTGCATAATGTACTCCGATCATGGTCAAGTGAAGAGAATGAAGATCAGATATATATATACGAAAGTTGGATGGTGAGCGGATATTAATTACAAGTAAAACTCGCGTAATAATGTACGGCATTATGCTCAAGAGCAAAGAGAACGGCAAACTTTAATGTATCCTGGGCCTGCTTTAGTGTTGAATAATGTTAAAGGACGTCACGTTGCAGACACAGAAGGAGGAGGGGGGATAGGGGTAGGGGGTTGAAGTATCCGCGTACGATGAGGGTGCAGAGCACTTGGACCCTGGGGCGGAAGTAAGTGGCTGATCTATCACCTTGCTGCTTAAAGAGGGTACTTCAGTGAAAGTTGCAGAGACACCCACGTGTGTGTCTGCAAAGAGGCTTCCCATTCAATGACTTATTACAAGTCATTCACGCTTATCGATCTCAAAAATTTACTCGTTATTTTTTTTCCCCAAACGGTATATAATATAACTTATGCCTCTCTAAAATGCTTCTATAAATAAATAATTCCCATTATCGTTGTAATAGGCTAAACTCACGTCCTTTTACGGCTTGGAAATAGACAATTGGCTAAAGTCACGTCCTTTTACGGCGTGGAAATAGACAATCGGCTAAAGCCACGTCCTTTTACGGCGTGGAAATAGATAATCGGCTAAAGTCCCGTCATTTTACGGCGTCGAAGTAGACAATCGGCTAAAAATAACGTCTGTCAACGGCGTGAAAATAGACAATAGTCTAAAGTCACGTCATTTTACGGCGTGGAAGTAGATAATTGGCTAAAAATAACGGCGGTTAACGGCGTGAAAGTAGACATAAGCCTAAAGTCACATCATTTTATGACGTGAAAATAGACAACCGGTTAAATTCACGTCATTTTCGCGGCGTGAGGATAGACAATAGGCTAAAGCGACGTCCTTTTACGGCTTGGAAATAGACAATCGGCTAAAGTCCCGTCATTTTACGGCGTCGAAGTAGACAATCGGCTTAAAATAACGGCGGTTAACGGCGTGACTGTAGACATAAGCCTAAAGTCACATCATTTTATGACGTGAAAATAGACAACCGGTTAAATTCACGTCATTTTCGCGGCGTGAGGATAGACAATAGGCTAAAATCACGACATTTTACGGCGTCGAAGTAGACAATCGGCTAAAAATAACGCCTGTGAATGGCGTGAAAATAGACAATAGCCTAAAGTCACGTCATTTTATGTCGTGGAAATAGACAATCGGCTAAAGTCACGCCATTTTACGGCGTGGAAGTAGACAATCGGCCAAAAACAACGCCTGTCAACGGCGTGAAAATAGACAATAGTCTAAAGTCACGTCATTTTACGGCGTGGAAGTAGATAATTGGCTAAAAATAACGGCCGTTAACGGCGTGAAAGTAGACAATAGTCTAAAGTCACGTCATTTTTACAACGTGAAAATAGACAACCGGTTAAATTCACGTCATTTTCGCGGCGTGAGAATAGACAATAGACTAAAGTCACGTCTTAAAAATAAGACCAAAATAGTCTTAAAATAAAACATCTGTTCCAACAGTAATAAATCCTAATTTTATTCTCTAATATTAATTTATTAATAAATTCAAGAATACATTCAAAAGAATCGAATTTCAGATAAGTAAAACTTGAAAGAATGATATTTACGCGCGAAACTTTCTAATTAGGAAGATTTTACGATAAAGGATGAGTTTTCCCCAGTTACGTTAATCTATCGAGCCATTAATCACGAGTTGCGGTGTGGCATTTGGGAAATGAATGGATTCTGAAGCGATGTGCGGCCTCGGTTCGAACGGAAATCGAGCATACTGATGGGTATAGTCGACATTTGCATGCGTAAATATCCACGACCAAATCGTTATATATATATATATACATATATATTTCTGCAAAAAGGTTATATTTGTGAATCTTTCAACTTCTCAAGTAAATTCTACAAAAAACTACAATCGTGGAAATTTTTTTTTCCACCTTTTTTTTCTCTATTCTCTCTGAAATGACGCTTTCTTACGTCTCAATTACTGAATCGTATATAGCGTGTTCTCAAGGGAGAGGTATTCCAATGAAAAAGAAAGCACGTCTGTGTGCTTCACAAGTTTCATTATTCAAACGATTTTTATCATGCTTCTTCAAATATCGACTCTTTAAAGGGATGAGAGGGGGGCAGGGGGGAATAACAAAAGGACGATGAACCTTGGAGATTTCCATTATATAATTATAATTTATTTTTTTAGATTATTTACTCAAATTTTCATTAAAATTCATTTAAAAGAATTCTGTTAATAAAAATTCGGCTACAGATAAATTTTGTCAAAATTTTAAGGAATTAATTTTTGTATTCATATCTAAAAATATAAATAATTTGTAAATTTAAAGCAAATTGTATATCTACAGAATATGAAAGAGAAGAGAATATTAGTGGAGAAATTGAAGCCTAACACTGTGTCAAACTTCATTGAGACCTAAACAAATCTCAGGATATAAACTGTCGGGTTGACACGCGTCTAGCGAGGCGACAATATGCAAATGAAGACGCATCCATATTCAATGAAAGGAACTAGCGTGTGTGTATGTGTGCTAGAAACACTCCAGGTTAATTCATTTTCCGGGTATCTCGTTGCAATCTCTATATATAATACTTTATTACAGGGGCTTATATTGATTTAATCAATCGATCGAAATTTTTTTCCTCCCTCTGACGCTGTCGCATATTTTTCTCACTCGAATTTCACAATATGACATTATTTTAGACAGGAGTAATAAATTTCAAAAAAAAAAAAAAAATTCAAACTTGTAATTTGAAAGGATTGAAGGATTAAATTTTATAAAACCGTTTTTATAAACAACAATTTTGAAAATAAAACCCGATCAATTTGAATATAAGAGGAGAAAATGAATTATTCCATTTGTTTTCAATATTATATATAAAATTATCAAATTGCCACTTGACGTGAATGGATTCTAGTTTACATCATTAACGTGTCAGTTAACACTGAGGCCTGAGGCATCGACAACTTCGAAATATTCTCTATACTGGGAAACTATCGACTGATTATAGTATATAGTTATGTCTCAAAAGGACTCTAGGGAGCTACAAATATTCTCTATTAAATACTCTTTAAAAAATTGTTTATATTTATAAAAAAAATTGTTTAAAAATGTATTTTTATACTAATTAATAGACCGAAAGATTTTTATTTTTTACTTCAAATATGACGAATTATTAAATAATTTATTAATTACAATTTGTTTATTGAAAAATTTAATTTTCATTATCGGTATTTCGTTTCGGTTTATTAAATAATATTTGAAAAATTTAATTAAAAAATAAAAATTACAAAGTAGGGTGAAAATTGTACGTCAAATGACTATAAAAATAAAAATAAATATTTTCAACAATAATTTTAATAAATTTTTAAATAGAAAAATTGAGAAAAAAGAAGATTAATGAAAAATTTAAATATCAAAACGGTTTTATAATTAGAGAAATTTTTTTTAACATATACGAATAGGTAGATTAGTGCAAATGTTATCTCATATAAGGAAATTCGATTATCCGCCAAACTCGGATTCAACTAATTAATATCTCCGACGGTACTTCAAGTGTTAAAGTTCATAATAACGAACAGTGTTCATTTCTGAGAGAGGCTTTAGCGAAACGTAACTACTCGTTATATTATACACGTATATACAGACATTTATGTATTAAACAGATACTTTGGCACTGCCTAAGGGTGCAGGATTAGTAATCCTAATACATTCTCTACAATTTCCATACATATAGATACATTTATCGTACAACTAATCAATATTATCCGCAGATGAATACCATAAGTAAATGACTTATTCGTTTCCAACTTTGGATAATGTACCTCTATTATAATAATCAATAACCGATCTAATAATGTTTCAATTAATTATTATAATCCCACAAGAAATTTCAATCCTCTAAAATTTAAAATAAAATTTAATTAAAAAAAAAAGTAAAAATATAAATAATAAAGTTAAATAAAAATTACTTATTGACCA